TCTCTAGGGAGGCGGTGGGTCCATTAATTTCGTCCATTAGACAGAAGAGTACCATGTCAGGAATTGGAATAGTTGTTGTTGTTGATGATGGCAACTGATAATACTTCACCAAAAACGAACGACTTATATACCACATTTTAATCGTAATCATTTATTTCATTGAGCAATCAATATTATTCGTAACTAATTATATCCGAGAGACCACATTTGAATCGTAATCAATAGTTTGATCCAGTAATTTACTACGCTACAATTAATTATGCTAGTCGTAACTAATTGCATCCAAGATACCATACATACCATTCATATGATCTGGTAACCAATCAACTATTCACAAACACCTGTTGCTTGATTCAGGGGATACTGTTATTATACAGTAATATGATCTGGTAGACAGTGGTCCGCGGACAGTGGTCCGCGGACCAGTGGTCGGGCTATCTCGATACTGCCAAAAAATTATCGATTATCGCGATAAAAAATTTGGTACCGATAATGGCAACCCTAATTTACACTCAAGTGTATATCCCCGCATATTATAATATGACATGTGAGCATATGTGACATGTCCTCCTGAGTTTACTGGTGACTGGTATTGGGGAACTGGTCGTCACAGTGTCTGACTACACTGACACAGTGTCATATGTCTGACGTCACTGTCACAGTGTCACATGTCTGACGTCACTGTCACATGTCACTGGTTAAATCGGTGACCTTAGCAGAGGTTAGTTATAAGTCAGCCAATGAAACCTAAATGTTGTACCGGATAAAACTGATTCCGAGTGGTTCTCAGGTTGTAAATGATCAATCTGGGTTACGATTTGCCCAGACTGGTCCTATGCCCATATAAGGCAATATTTTGCTCAGATTCGAAACTGACACACTGTCACAAGCATAAGTGGGTGGAATAATAATCGAAATTTCTCTCGAGAAAAGAAACATAGTTTAACGAAAGATCACAGAAGTCGTTATTTCCCAAATCTGTCTTGTGACCTGTCTAATATTTTCTATGTATGAAATATGGGGATTTTCCTGTCATCTAGTTATAAATCGTGACTCCAGCAGCTTTTCAATTTGTCCCGAATTTTAAAATCTTCACTTCAGAATATAAGCCTAAACACACCCTCTCCAGATCTCCAGTCACTCTGAAGTTAAATACACTGCGATTAGTAAGGCTATTACAGTAATACTATATACAGTCTATATACTGTGATGTGTACACTCAACACTGTGCTGCACATCTTACTTGTGTACGATTAATAACCCCGGTAAACTGCGCAATGTACGCGTACAGTAGCGTTACAGTAGCGTTACAGAAGCGTTACAGTAGCGTTACAGTAGCGTTACAGTAGCGTTACAGTAGCGTTACAGTAATGTTACAGTAGCGTTACAGTAGCGTTACAGTAGTGTTACAGTAGCGTTACAGCAGTGTTGCACTAGTGTTACAGAAGCGTAACACTAGAACTATAGAATTGCGGAGTTCGATATTTAGATAGTGTTGTTTGACAGGTGCAAATGTTTATTGGTCGGTGGGGTAAAAATTCCCTAAAATGTCTGCAATATAAGAAGAGATTTTCCTACTAAATTAAAATGAATGAACCCTAATTTAAGAAATAGAAAACGGATTATTACAATAACCTTACATCACCTCCCCTCAGTCAGCATCGACAATAACAGTATCAGTTTATATCCGCACAGTTATAGTAGCTTGAGCTACTATAATACAGGTTCATATAACGTGTCGGAATCGAGGGGGTTTCTGAAAATGCTAATGTAATTTCTACAGAATTTTTATGAGTAATATAAGGTGTTTAATGCTAGGGAAGATGGAGTCTACAAATTTGGCGTATGTAATACAAGTAAGTAAGTTGTAGTAATTGAAGCAACCCCATTGCCCATCAATTATTCCTCAACTTTTGGTCAAATAGGCAATAGGCATCGATGGGCATTGCTATTTTAAGGCTTTGCATTTTGGGTAAAGCCCTAAAAACAGCTAAAACTTGATTTGTGATGAAAATAAACATCATCATCCTCTTATTAATATTAACGAGTACAGCTTTATTTCAGCTCAATAGAGTTTGGTATCAGAAATAGTAATTTGTTTGATTTTTCGATTTTGATGCCCATTTTGCCCATTTATTCCTCAGCATTTGGTCAAATGGGCATGGCCCCCCCTGGCCCTCCCCCCTCCCCCCTCAGAAGTATTATACCCACACAGTTATACTACTATTATAAATATCCGCACAGCAGCAGCAGTTGTACTAGCAGAAGTATTAAGAAAGTTTTCAGGAATCACCTGAACTGCTGAAGCTACATTCCCGCTGTATTACACTTTATTACACTCTTAGAATACTGTTCTCACTCTGCCAAAGGTAGTTTTAATTCCGACCCGGCTAAAATTTGGTGATATTACACAAATTGGAGCTTGTAGTTGTCTAATTTGGATAAAACAAGCTAGTTGTAGTACTATTTTTAGCGCAGATTGCACGATATATTTATATTTGTACGGAGAGATATTCCAAATATTTAGAAATGTTAATTGCATATTAGTGTTCCTCACGTATGTTAATGAGTTGCACATCTCAACATTGTTATAATTACCCCCGAGTTTTGGAAATTCCTGCGGCGTTCCTCCGTATTTTTTACTGGCCTTGTGTATATATATGGCGACAGAGCAGGGTTGGAATGTCTTGGAACAAATTGTAAAATGGCAATTAAAATATGTGATCATGTAATTGGTAAATATATGCAATTTTGCGGTGATTATGCGGTAAGATTGCAGAACCGCTGATTTGGATAAAATAATAGTAAACTTCATGCAGATGATGATGCAAAATAAACAGATTTATCTAGATACCTGTTACATACCAGTTTTATAGCAGCTACATACGGGTCACGTACCTGTTTCCATAGCTTTTCAACCAACATGAAAACCTCGATATCAAAATAACTATTCCCTGTGATATATTGAATTCTTTTCGGCATATTTAACCGCAGCTTATACTATTACATATAAAATATGTATGCACATCATTTGTCCACACTTAGCCCTTCATAAACATGACTATATAATATGTAACTGTAATGTGTATACTGTATGTTGTCACAGTTCAGCATGAAATATAACGACTGGCCGCCCAATATCACAGTTCACCTATAATACACGTTATAACACTTTATAACACTGTATAAAACACTACAAACAGACTCAGTGGCTAAACATGAAATAACAGTTCACAACTGTACAATACACAGTTGCCCTCCATCCTCTGTTGGTGTGTATACAGAGTATCTTACTGAAGTAACACTAGGAGTTAGTATAACACTAACTCTCACCTATGCAAGGTGTCTCTAATAGTGCAACTCAAGCTGCAGGAATTACTCTGATTAACTGTACTAGTTCAGTACTGGCTTGTTGTCATGTTCAGCACCCGCATACTATTATAGTACAGTGTGGTATAGTATTACTACAGCACACTACAAATAATCCAATAGTCCCTCCATTACAGTGCAGTACTATACTAAATTGTGATAATAATTATTTAAATAAATTTTATTTGATTACATTTTTGTACACACCTACTTAGTGCAAGTAAAGACTAATGAACTGATAATATTGAAGGCTCATTGTTAACTAAATAGATATTCGCTCATAATAGAAACACACGCTATTATATAAACTAAGCTGTTCTCATTGTTATGGGTCGTTATAAATTCCAACTATTGTTCGCAGCTAAGATCCCAACATCGGCTAGCTATGACGAAATATTCAGTATGAACGACAAAGGTGAAAATATTTTGATGGAATTTGAAGGATTTTTGGCATTCCTAGGCCTGTTCAAGCCGGAAAATAGTTAGCGATCTGGTGATAAGTCACGTTGGCACATTGCTATTGGCTGGCTTGAGTACAAGTTATCATGGGGCTGTGGGGTAACGCTATATTACCAAGGTTACCATCTAGGTTACTAAATAGGTTACTAAATAGGTTACTAAATAGGTTACCATGGTTAAGTTACCTAGGTTACAATATCATGTCTCTAAATCTAGAGAAACTGTAATGTCAGCAGTGTCAACCTTTACTGGTGGGCATGGTGTAGTACTCCGATATATCGTAACTGTACCAGGAATAGCTCGTAACTGAGAAGAACTATTTTACAGTAGTACAGTGCCTGGTTACTGGGAAGCCTTGCTAACAATGACGCATCTGGACCGGGCCAAAGCAAATATTTCAGTCTTGGAGCTTACCTTCTGCAGAATCCTCTGATGACGAGCTGGAGAAATGACGTTGTTAATGTTAAACTGAATAACTTATATCCCCCTAATATTGGATGAGTCTTGTCACGGCCAATGTTGTCATGCTGCTTTAGGAGGCTTTAAGAGACATTGACACAGACACTTTTCTTCTAATTTGATAATTTGTTAAGGTCACAGACATATAGGCATCCGTCTCCAGTCATCATCAATGAGTTGATGTACCTCTTACATCTTTATATACGTTACATCATTAGTTATACTAAAGTAGTGGGTAAAACACAACGCTGCTATCTGATATTTGAATTTTGATCTGTATTTTGATCTGTATTTCTCGCTAGTCTTATTTTTATTGCTCCTTACTGTGTAGAAAAATCAATGTACTTTGAAAGAAGTCTACTTTACGGTAGAACATAATGTTGTTATCTTGTGCGAGGTTCAAATTACGGAGTACCTGATTTATCTATCAGCTCCTGATTAATGTACTTGGAAATTAAGTGAACATATGAAGTGAAATAGAAACCCAAACTGTCATAATTTTATCACTTTGTTACATTATTATGTGACCACCTTAGTTTGGTTAAATGTTTTAAATTCTATAATTACAATAATTTTTTCAGTGAACGATTGATTGAATTTCATGGACTCAGTCACTAGATCTAATCATGATTTATTTCAATTTAGAATTTCAACAAATTTCAAAATTAATTTAATCCTAACATTAATTTAATTCTAACATTAAATAATTTCAGTGTATGGTGATCTCCGGTGAGTCAGGATCAGGTAAAACAGAGACCACACGTCACATAATACATTGGCTGACTACAACACAGAACAAACATTCCACCACACGGACCCTTGCTCAGTCTATTCTTGGAGCTGGGGAACTGCTGGAGGTACTTAGATCTAATTATAGATATTCTATTATGTAATATATATTATGCTTTAACTTACATCTTATTCTGTAACTAACAATAATAAATTGAAGATTAATAACACCACTTTTAAGATAAAACTTATACTCAGCAGTGCAAGTGTTTAATCTAAACATCCCAGAAAAGTACTTGAGTAAAATAAGGACTGGTAATGTATGCTTGAAAATATATCGCTTAGTCTAATGACAGAATATGATACTGTATGTAAAAATCGAATACCAATATTGACTAAAATAAATTATCGATCAAGTTCATGAAGGGGCAGTTGAAACAGAAAAGTTTTAGAAGAGCTTTAAATGATTCCAATGATTGAGCTGATGAAATGGTATCAGGCAGACGATTGTAGATCTTTTGAGCCACCACAGAGAAGATACACTCACCAAACTTAGAGTTAAAATATGGTACAATTAGTTTCAATGTGTGACCATGATGTGAGTACCTAAACATGTCCTGCAGATAAGTCGGTGCCAATCTTAGCAATGCCTTGTGAGCTTATCTTTATCAAATATTATAGGTTTTCTGTAACTAAATTGCAAGTTTGTTTCACGTCCGGATTATTTTCCAGTGTAATTTTCATTTAATGTCCGTTGGATTTAATCCTATTCCCGTGGCCCGTTAAGATGTAAATATTAAACTAATCATAATGAGAAGAGTCAATATATTGCGATACTGTTACAATCAGTGATACACTGTTATTGCCGACTTGGCACAACTCCAACCCTGAGTAGAATAAACCGTGTAGCTAGTTTCATTGTTCTCCCGTCTTAAAGTTGGCTTATAATATACTATTATAGTAGTTTCAGTAAATACTTAATGTGAGCAGTAAATGGAAAAGATGTATGTAAATGTGTACGAATTATTATACCTAAGATGCGTTGAATATGTAGTTGAATATTCTTGTTATTCACAATGAGATTATGTTATGTACATAAGAAACCAGAAAGTTTACTTTATCAATGTAGTGAAGGAGATGTTCAGGGTTTGTTTCCGGTAAGATGTTATCAGTTCAACATTATAAGGTTTTAATGCCGTGTGCTACTGTAGTAATTGTGGCGTAGTTACAAAATTGTACTCAGAACGTTATATAACTTTATTATCTTATTTTCACTGCACTTCGGGCAAACGGATGTTCCAATTCTAACACAAAACAATTAAATTAGTACCGTATTTTTGCTGATGTAATTAGTTTATTAATATGTTATTTCTCACAGGAATTAACTAATTTACCGCTAACAATATTTATTTCCAGGCGTTTGGAAACGCACAGACGTTACGTAACAAGAACTCCAGTAGATTCGGACGATTTATACAACTGGAGTATAGACAGGATGGCTCTGTGCATGGGTACGTGTTATCACCATAGCAACCGTTACCATGACAACCACTGTCTTACATACTTACACTACACATTTCAGTACTTCACAAGTAACAAACTAAAAATTTGAATACACCATAAACTTCACACTACGCATGGAACTTATTTCCATACATTCTCCTTACTAAACACATGACATTCCGTAATATGTTCCGTATATAATTTATAAGTCAATATATTGCGTATGTAAGTTAAAGTTCATTACACACACACACACAATACCATTATAGGTTCCTGTGCTGGAATTTAATAAGAACTGTGATATATAAAACCTCTCCCAACTCCCCAGGCTGTACATTTCTTCTAGAAAATTCGATCTACAGCTAAGTTAGTTAAAATAACTCAATGAATAATAACAGGTTTTCAGGGTCCTAGTGTACCCCACGAAATGTAATAGTAGGAATATTATCGCCGCCATTCTGTGTGACTCCTAAACAGCATACCACTCAATTTTAGCATTCCGTACAATTTTAATAGATTTGAGACAACAGTGCACAAGTATTAGCGGTATTTTCTTATTTTGAACGTCGGTGTAATTTCTATGTCAACCTAAACTTTTACCTCCCTGAAAATTAAATTATATTTACCAATTCTGTGTGAAAAATCGTTTTCTCCCCGTTATATTTCAGTAAATTTTCGTGATTTGTGTTCTGGAGATTTGCCAAAATCTTGACTAGATATCTTACTGTAATTGTTTGGAATTTTACTTTGAATTATGTTTACACTCGGGGAATTAGAAGATAAAAATTTCGGTTCCCGTCATCTATATCATTCACGTTGATCACGTTCAACTCGAGTCCATTCAATATACAATTAATCAATCACCAAGTTAATCAAATAATCAAATAATCAAATAATCAAATAATCATTATAACATTCCAGGGCTGTGATAGAGAAATACCTTCTAGAGATGTCGCGGATCACCAATATCTCTAGCAAAGAAAGGTAAGCTAACTGCTGACACAATAATCTTGCAAATAATGCAGATATATTAGCACAATAGGTCCATTAAAATGCAGGTCACCATGGTTACGCTATACTTGTAGTAAGCCGGGCTACTGTATTGAGCGTGTATATTTGACAATAACGTTTTGGTGATTGACTCGCACAAATTTCACCTTTACTGTTGGGCGATCAGCGATGTCATAATATTATAGCAGCTAGCTTAATATCTCCACCTAGCTTAATATCTCCACCTAGCTTAATATCTCCACCAGTAACCTAGCTAGTAGCGTAATATCTCCACCTAGCTTAATCTAGTATCTATAAATACATAAATCTGGTAGAGATTGTAGTTATCTTGTAAAATGGTTTAATGAATGAGTTAAATTGTAATAACCAATTAAGTTCCTTCCCTTTCTCGCTTCAACTGTATGGCTAGCTCAAACTTTGAGATTTTGGAGTCAGGCCACACCGAGCTCAGTAAAGCATGAGATTTACAAGTAATTTGAGATAGGCCACTAGCCACTCGGCCAATATCAATTAGGAACACGGCTGTACGTGAGCCTGGGCCTTCCAAGCGTGTGAAACCCACTGTCCTAGTAACATTCTTATGTATACGTGTAATATCCGAATCGGAACATATTTATTAGTCGCATAGCTGTAATGTTTCTGGGGCAAAATTTGAAGTGATCCCGTTTATTGCGACAAAGAAAAGGCTCTTATATGGAAAATGAATTCTTCTGGAAAAGGAATTGTTCTGGAAAAGGTTCTACGTTAGCAATGTAACAATATAATATCCTGTAGACCCCACTCTTAGCACTGAGAGTGTGCCTTTAGTGGGCTCGTGTTGAAGAGATTCTACTGTTCGTTAGAAGGGTTCTGAGAAATTAGGGCTTGGAGGGATTCTCAGTAGTACAATTAGTCTTTCTTAAATGTGAACGTGACTTCTGTAGAAAAAAAACACAGAAAGTATGAAAGCTACTAAATATAAAATTGTAAACAGTGCGGAGTCGTGTGGAGTAATTTTACTTTGAGAATGATTGAATTTGATTGATGTGGTTGGATACTAGTGAACTTTGTTTACTGTGGGCATGGTGAGTATCAAGATTAAAAAGTTGGTGTGCAGAAGTGGTAACCAAATTTTAAATTCTTAGTATCAATGTTACGGGATGTCCACCGACTGTATATGTTTTTATTTTTAATGGATATTTTAACAGTTTTCTACATATAGTCGTATTTCGTGGCAAATTTTCAACATATTTGTTACCATTTCAGGAGTTACCACGTGTTTTATTATCTACTGGCGGGCTGCAACAAACCACTGTATGATGAAATAGACCTGAAACCTGTTTCTGGATTCAACTACCTAAATCAGGTAACTGAGATAACAACTGTGCACATATTTTGTGTCACGTGATTAAATAAACGCCATTATTAAGTTTAAATTCAAGTTTAAATCCTTCATTATCACTACTTTCTATGAAATAACATTAGCGCTCTTTAACAACCATGTAAAACGTTCAAACACTTGACTCCAAGTCGCTCTATAAAGTGCAGTGCCGATATATCACAAAGCCAAAATACACAATATTACAGTAGCTACAATAGTTATACTACTAGTTATAGTATACATTCACACAACACCTTGTTCAGTTTCCACTCGCAATAAGTTATTAAAGTTAACTCTCATCTAAGATTTCTCCACAAATACTCTCTAAAAATCCCGCCTCTCCCACGCCCAGAAAAGCCGTGTATATTCCACTGTTGCGTGTATGTTTTCACCACATTACAGTTATGGTGATTCTTCTCCCTCTCCTCTTATTATCCACACTAGCTTTTTCTAGTGGCGTATTATTAAATACGGCTGATTGGTTGGCGCTGCGCCAAGGTTTAACAATTTTGTGATGATTTCTTTGTAAGCAGAAACAAAAAACAAATATTTACGAGCTTTTAACTGGGATCATAAACAAAAGGTTCTATGTTTGCAGTTGTTGATCTATTCGTGTGTGTGCGTGTGTGTGTCAATAGTCGCGTCAGAAAGTCTGCAATATTTGAAATACAATCTGCTCCTTTAGCAGAATATCTCACGTTGTGTTTGTTTGTTTGTTTGTTTATAGAACCCGTCCCCAATCTCGTATCGGAAAATGACTAAACTCAGGTCTGAGTGTGAATCTCACGTTGTTGTTATGAAGTAAAAACGTCGACGGGTTCTTGTAAAGTGTTGAAAATGTGATGGTATTGCATATGTAAGCTGGAACATTGATAATGTGGGTGCAATCAGATCTTAAATGGATCTTTTGAGACATCGATGTTACGTATTGAGCAAAAAATGCAGCAAAAAGTTTTAAATTGTTTGTAACTCTAGAAAATATGCGAGAAGACCAATATTCTTGGTTACAAAAGATTCCCAACAGGTCGATTACTCTTCTGACATCTCTAAGTTGGGTAATCGACCATTTTGGATCCAAAATCGATGCTGTGCGACTCTTTGGAGACCCATTTAAGACCCAAAAGTACTAGCAAAATTTGCTTCTTTTCCTTCGCAGGTTACAACTGTTATCATCCACTGCGTGCGCGCTTGAGCCGCGCGTACACACTCAACTGATTACTGGATTTCGAAGCCCACCAAAGCACCAATGACAAAGAATATGTGATATAAGAGTGTAATATATACCTGATATGTCACTATGTCTGGCATGTGTATCGATTACCCATCTCATGATAACGCTATAAATATCTCAGAGTGTTGTCACGGTCGATGGTATGGACGATCACGGCGGTTTTATCAAGCTCAAACGATCCATGAATATGGTCGGGATTTCTGAGGAGCTGCAGAAAAAGTTAGAGAGATGCTTTATTTTCAAGCAATATAACGCAATTGAATATTTTTCACGGTTTAAACTGCGTACACTGTTTAACATGCTACCACTGAATAATATTACTTGATGAGGTTACTTTTACGACATCATTTCAGCATTTTCAAAGTGTTATCAGCGATCCTGCATATCGGTAACATCACATTCAAACAAGCCAACAACATCCGAACGAGCGAGGAGTGTGTGGTGATCACAGATAAGGGAGCTCTGGATACTGTGGCTAAGTTACTGTCTGTCAATGCTGATTTGCTGAAGGAAGCTCTTACTACTAAGAAGTCGTTTGCAAGGGGCGAGCAGTTCGTAACTCATTATAAGAGGGTCGATGTGAGTTGAACATACTTCTCTTTTTTGAAATAGAGCTTACTAAAGAATGACTGAGTATCATTTCACGTCTTTCTCCAGTTAATTATTAATAAATACAATATTATATTATTGAACCCTTGAAGACCAACAAACCACCACCCCAGGCCACTGCAACACGTGATACGCTAGCTAAGTCCCTGTACACCTACCTGTTTGATTGGTTACTAATGCACGTAAACAGAGGTTTGGTAGCAGACAACAGGAGATCTGAACATTACCTGTCAATAGGACTGCTGGATATGTTCGGGTTCGAGGACTTCCAGGACGGAAACAGATTCGAACAGTTCTGTATCAACTATGCAAACGAACAACTCCAGCATTTCTTCGACCAACATATTTTCAAACTCGAGCAGGTACAGATATTATTTATGTAGTTCTCAGCTCTCAATCTCGTTAACAATATATAATAAATGAATTAGTTACAATAATTTCCGGGGGAAACGATAATAATCAATCGAACACCCTCCGTAAATTCTTACCTGTCCAATGTCAAATTGTGCCAATGCCCATATATAGTATAATGACTACTCCCTCAGGACGAGTACACGAAGGAGAAGATTGTGTGGACCATGGTTGGTTACAAAGATAACGAGTCATGCTTGGAGTTGTTTAGAGGGAAACCTATAGGACTTCTGCATCTTCTAGATGAGGAAAACAGGTGAGCAATGATGAGATTTTCTCCTTTTTAAAGGTGTTCAGCATTTTTAGAGAGGTTTGGTCTTTTTCTTGGTCAATAAAAAGCTGTGGATTTTAAGTCTGTACTTTTCCCCTATAACGATATTGATGATATCTTAATTCATTGTTTCAGTTTCCCGGGAGGCTCGAACCAGTCACTACTACAGAAGTTTAACGATAACCATGGTAATCATGAGAACTACAACAAAACTCAGATCCAAGAAAACGCATTTGAGATTATACACTATGCTGGTCCAGTCCAGTACAGAATAGACGTAAGTTATCGCACTGTTATTATTAGTTTCTCAATTTAAGCTATTATATTACTTGGCCTCTTATCTCAATCAGTCAATCAAATTGTTTGGCCTTTGTTATTTATCTTGTCTATTTTAGGAGTTTTTGGAGAAGAATAGAGGTCACATGAGGGCTGATATTGTGCACGTCCTGAAAAGCAGCACTTCTCTGTTCATCAAACGTCTCATCGGTAATTATTGGACTTATTTATGAGAATAACATGTTTACATCAAAACCTAACGAATTTAATGGAAAATGTTATCGAATATCAAGCTTGATATCAGTACTTTCCCAACAGTTGCAAACATTCTCAATCTTTCAAAACTTTAATTCGTGAACAATGACAACAAACATTAAGTACCAAACATTAAATACCAAACATTAAATACCAAGCATTAAATACCAAGTATTAAATACCAAGCATTAAATACCAAACATTGAATACCAAACATTAAATTCCAAACATTAAATACCTAACGTTACCAGGTTGTGATCCAGTAGCGCTGGCACGGTGGACGTTGCTCCGCAACTACATTGGAGCAGTGTTTGCTTGTAGGAACGCTATACAATCCTACACTCTTAGTCCTACAGATAACAGGGAACAAGGAGTGTCATTTAGTGAGTATATTAATTGCACGGAGTTTAATTGTGTTTAATTGTGTTGATCTGTTGATTGTTGGTTCAGGGTAAATACAACGTTAAGGAAATAAACCCAATGAAAGTCCTGATCATTAAATTTTGGAGCAACTTGAAATATAGAATTTAAAAATTATAGTCAGCATGATTCTTTATAACTTAATTGAAAACATTTGATCAGCGATCATACTGTGTCCACTTTGTTACAGACTAAACCCCCTGTTGTTTGGTGTTGCTTTGCACCCCCGGCCCTGTTGTTTGGTGTTGTTTTGCATGACCGCACCCATCTGACCCGTCACCCTAGCACCCCCAGGACCGCGGAACAAATCATCCGACTCTGACGGGAGCCGGAGCGTCAAGGACCGAGCAAGCGCGTACATGTCCGACAACCCCGCGTTTGCGGACCTGGACGCCAAGATTAGACGGAGCAGTGACGGACCTAAGCAGAACCAGCCGCCGCGCAGGAGCGAGAGCCGAGAGATATTACATGTTAGTGAGGTACTGGTGTGCTGGGGTAAAATGCACTTTTACATCCTGATACAGCAACACAGACCTGAAACTGTGTTTAATTAAATAATTTACTATGATACCTAGCTGATTAGTTGATACTGTTCATACTCTGATACTGAGCTACCCCACAACAAATTTAACGTTGAAAATAACGTATTTTATTGCTGATCTGCAGCCTGACTGTCTTCTATAACTTCTCAAAGGTCTCCATTAGAACCCGAAGTCTTCACATCAAATCTGAAATCAGTGCCTCTGACATTGGCTAAATTAATCCAGACTGAGATTATTGATTAATTATAAAAAATGTCTTCCTGCAGTGAAACCCCGTTACACCCCCCTCACCCCCCCGTTACACCCCCTCACCCCTTACATCTCCGTTCAGATCCCAGCTACCAAACACCGACAAACTAGACAACAAGTGTTCAGAGCTGGTGCTAGGGGGAGGCGACAACCTCGCTCCACTGTCGTGGGACAATTCATGGTAAGTTCCAATGTCGTTGCAGGGGGAACAACTCTACTCTGGACTTTTGTCTTGCTTTACTTTCGGCTGCGCATTTTCAACACTATTAAAAGAGATTATTATATTTAAGATGTTACACACTTTTATGTCATTATAATTATACATGATGTACTCTTCATCTTAGTACATATCTGACATGACATATCTGAGTCGTCGTAAATTAATTTAGATAATGATTTAATTCTAAAACATATTTCACTTCCAGTCCTCGCTGACGAGCCTGGTAAAAGTTCTGAACTCTGCGAACCCACACTTTATCCGCTGTATAAAGAGCAACTATGACGGTAAACCCAACATGTTTGAAACTGATTTCGTGGACAGACAACTGAGGTATACCGGCATGTTGGAAACTATCCAGATACGCAAAGCTAGCTACCCTGTCCGTTATAACAAGGAGGTAAGGATTCCAGAGTCTTTTATCCGGAATGTTTAATCTGGAGTCTTTTATCCGGACTGTTTTATCTGGAGTCTTTTATCCGGAGTTTTGTCCGGCCTAAATCATGTTGAGGTTGTTTTTCAGTCCGGGCCTAACTTTTAGGATTGCTCATGTGTTATACGTGATATGTGTTACAAAATAAAATTTCAGGAGTTTTGCAACGCATTCAGGTTATCGATGAGGGAGTCACACCAGAAAGACATCGCCAAATTCTTTGATTGGGCCAAAATTGAGAAGGGACAATACCAGGTCAGAAACATGATTATTACTCTAATCAGTAATCACTCTTGCACGTCATCATGATCTACTCACCATATAAAAATGAACTTTTAGTTGATGTTCTTACTTAAGGATTCCTTAATCAATTAACTCACTAATTAACTTACTAATTAACTAACTAATTAACTTACTAATTAATTTACTAATTAACTTACTAATTAACTTAATAAATAACTTACTAATTAACTTACTAATTAATTTACTAATTAACTTACTAATTAACTTACTAATTAACTTACTAATTAACTTACTAATTAACTTACTAATTAATTTACTAATTAATTTACTAATTAACTTACTAATTAACTTACTAATTAACTTACTGATTAACTTACTATTTAACTAACCCTCCGAATTTCAGCTGGGACTTAGTAAGGTGTTCATGAGGGAAGGACCATTACAGCAGCTGAACGAGTACCAAGACAGGCTGATATTAGACAGAGTACAGCTGATACAGTCTCACCTGAGAGGATGGCTCGGCAGAGTCAAGTACAAGAGGATGCGATTAGCTGCTATTTTAATACAGGTCAGTGAGCAGTATAACCTATTGAATATATAACCATATTAAACAAGTATAATAAATATGTTTCATGAACCCCCTCCAGATATGAACCAAGTGCTTGAAGCACTAATTGAAAGAGAGGGGGACCCGTCTTATAAAGTGGTTTGACGCAATATTCCCCGGTACATATCCTTCATGCTTTCATCTCGAGAGATAATAATCTCCTTGAGCGCTTGGCAGCACTGTTAAAGTCACTATTACAAGAGCGCTCATATTTAATATGAAAATTAAATATAATCTCTGATCAGTCTTGTTATAATTGTTATAATAACTGCGCTTAATACCAAAATTAAACATACTCAGATCGCAACCAGTAATCATCTCCAACACAATTTCCCCTCTTGCAATAACCACGGTTTTGCTAATATCCGCGGTTTTGCTGACTAATAGTTAATGAGGGGTTGTCGGTTGACGTGAGCCTCGCTAATCCATCATAATAATACGCGCACTATAAGTATAATCAAATCACTGATAATACCTTATTATTACAAACGTGATAATACCTTGTCCAGAAACAATTGTCAGTCTCAGCCCTTGCTATTAGATTATAACGGGTCCCTCTGTATTGTTCAGCTTTTATTAGTAACTATAAGTAACGTGGTGAGTCGCTATAAGTGGTGCCCAGTTTATTGCGTGGATCTTGATATCGAATCATAGCATTGTTACTCGTAAAGTTAGTTTCACTAGTAGAACTGGTAATGGTGTTGCGCAATGATATTGCCCGTCAGATTTGATAGCTTTATTACATGTACACTGAGTGCAACTCTATTTTTAACGGACCAAATGGCTCATTTCATTTCACAGTTTTTACGTCTGCTCTCGCTTTAAGTCCTTTGTGGTACCTTTATGATTTATCTCTCCCGCTCAATGTCAATAGATTTTAACAAATCAAATAAAGTTGTTTATTTTATTTCCACGGTTCAAGTTATAAGAGGAGCTAGAGTCAACCCAGTGGATTTAAAAACTGGCGATTTAGCTTTTTTCGGCGTCGTAATGCGACATAGTGTCGATCGTAGCAGTATTGCGATATTATGCTTAACGTCGCCGTATTGCGACATAATAGCAAACGTTGCCGTAAGGTAGATTTATCCTGCGCTAGAGTTCCAGTTATTGTTGGTCAGCTGTAGGCACGTTTTAATTATAATATTTATTATTGACGTCTTGCTGTCTGCACAATACTCTGATCTAATGATTGCAATTAATTATTCACGTTTATTTGTTTAGTGAACCACGTTTAAACTATTATTCCGCGCTAATTAGTTGTAAATTGCTTGTTAGGTTTAATTTACTGTTTACTTCTTCTACAGCCAAGTGCCAACAAAATATGATCTAAGTTTATCTTCGCTGCCTTTTGCTTGTCAGTTGTTTGCCGTATCGCTAAACTGGTATAAAATGAACGTCGCCGACCACTTTTCAGTTTTCTTATTTTACTAAAAAAACGATACTAAGTTAACAATGAATTTATAGGTAAGACTGCAAAGAAAGTTTAATTCAACAATATTACTTAATCTTGATCAAAGATCATTCTACAATCTACCGAAGTTTCGACCTACATTAATAAGATCACTCAAAATACACGTCACACACTGGCAAATGTCTGTTAAGTAACTATACTTAACGTGGACCAATGTCAGCACACTCCATAGTAATATAAACAATAATTGTAGTGCTGAGGGGTGGGGCACGTGTGTCGTAAGTCGTAACGAGTGTTCACTTTAATAACAGTTAACTGGGAGTGTAGTAGTTTCATCTTGGAAAGAATTACTAAACTCACCTTGTTGATGGTGAACTCACCTCGTTGATGTTGAACGTTTAGTTGATAGCCCTTGAAGCTTATTTGTTAAAATCTAGAATCCTTTGCAGGTTTTTAGGTAGAAGCAGCTGTATAGTGTAGACTGTAGATCGGTAGATCTCACCATGACTCATAAATCAGCTTGTAATAGCAGGTCCTTGTTCCACTAGTAATCCACTTCACCCCAGTTACCTCCATCAAATGTCTACTCTCCAGTCTCCATAACAATGAGTCGTTTATCCTGGGCTGTAGCTGGCAACTCTTCCAGTGGCTGAGAGCCGGGGGAAATTCTTTCACCGTGACATAAATCAATAATGGCCTAATTTACCGGTCATCATTTTCACAGACATTATCTTCACGCTGCGGCGAATCTGTAATCAAGGAACTGACGAGACTATCATAACTACTAAGTTAACTACTGAGTAGTCACTCAGCAACCACTAAGCTTATTATTACTTGCCTTTACGGAGGAGGGAGAAGCATTTATGTTTAATATGGCAGAATAAATACGTATTTTAAATAGGCAGTAACAATCAAACGACGACAAAACACCAGTGAGAATTAGATTATACTGGCAATATTAGAAAAGAATTGATATGTGGACTAGAAAATTATATGTTCTCTAGATCTTTTGCTGCCGTCAGCAGTCAGCTTATGTCATGCATTTCGAACTTCATAAATTTGGGTCCTTCATCGGGCAATGAAACGCTACTTACGAAATTGTGTGGCCGCTGGCCAGGATTTGGACTGGTTAAATTCACTTATGTAAGGATTCCTTAATCGTACTTTGACTGGCTGGGAGAGACTCCCTGGTCTGATGCCAGGTCTGTGATAGGATTCTATGGTAGGAGTTTTAATGAGAGAAGGTCTGTGATAGGAGGGTGGGTCCCGGCATATCGTGACTTAGTTTCGTGTTATAGGTTATAAGTTATAGTTAATCAATTTAAAGTATAATCAGTCTTAGAGTAGAGATTTGATAGCCGATATCAGATAATGTACTGTCGGTTACATAGTTAAATGTGTTTTCATCTTAACCCTTTTATTAATGCTGCTCTCTCTACTTTAAAAATGTCTACTCAACATTCTAATGGAGCTATGAATAACATCAAACTAAAAGTTTTATGATTACCTCGGGATAACCTTAGACATTTTTCTCCTTTTTTTTCTATTTTGCTTGTTCATTAGCCGGTTGCTTTGTGGGAAAAATCCACCGAGACGCCTTTTCTTCATTGACAACTTTTCTTTTTACCAACCATTCCGGTGATATTATTATTAGTCGTCTTTGAACGATTCAGATAACAGCAGCCAGTGATAATATCAAGTAGATTATCACATATTATTACCAGTCAGTAGACGTATTTAATAACCACCGCCAACGCTCACCCAATTACCACACTAATTAACCTAATCACTTAATAACCCGCACATCTTCCCTCTCTTACTACTGACTATTAACCGCTTGTAAAATGCGCCGCGCTTGATCTCAGTCGCCCTGGTTACCACAGGTTGCCATGTGAACGGAGGCGGTTGTTATGACAACGTCATTATTACGGTATCTGCACGAGGTGGTGGCTCCAGCAGTGGGGATCACCCTCCTCACTATGATGGGGAGACTTGTTGCTAGGTCTTGTGTGGAGCTCGTTAAGAGCCTGCTATCTGTTTTCTCTAACCCAACGGTGCGTTGCCTCCCTTAACTTACCATAGCTCACTTTGGCTTCCTCACTTGACCATTTTCTCCTGTGCTGAGTAGACCACTGAAGCTTTTTTAAAGAAGTTAATTGGACCCGATTTGACCGTTTAATCTAACCACCCTCCATATTTCAGTCTACTTAGCACGGGAGGGAATATTGTTCCCACAGCTCGACAATACTGCTATGCAAAATATACAATTACATCTTTCAGTACCTCAATAATCTGTCATTGTTACCTTAACACCTCTGTTTGAAGTGTTTTTAAGAAAATCTGTATAGTTTGAGCAGTTACACATCATCAGGGTCACATTGACTCGAATGCGGGAATTGAACCTGACGTCTCCAACGTTACGCAAATGTAATTGAGTATGAAAAGATGTTAAATAAAATGTGTAATCAATGTTAAACTCACCTTGTTACTCCTTCAGAGACACTGGCGAGAGTATTCAAAACGGCAGCGGTACGCAGCTGCGTCGCTCATCGCAAGCAGCTGGAGGATGTTTGTCCAGCGGAGACGCTACGTGGACATGAGGGAGGCAGCTCTCGCCGCGCAGCGCTGTTGGAGACGCAACCACAACCTGTAAGTTCGTTTGTCTGTTGGTTTGTTTGTGAGTTCGTCTGTTTGTATTACTGTGTTTTTGTTGAGATGTGAAACTTTATATTGTTTGTAAACCCAACAGTAAAATTCAACACTCGCGTGTAAATATGCTTCTTCAAAAATTATTTCTGGTAGAGATATTTTATTAATAGATGCAACCAAATCGGGAACAGTTGAATCTCGTCTCTCCTCCCTGCTCCTCCCTCTTCCCACCGATCTGTAGAATTACAGACACAAAATACCACCCAATTAAATACCTCCCCACCCTGCCGTCCAGCAGCTTCATTTCCGCACTATTATCAAGTGTACAATAAGAGAGGCTGCAAAGATCTATACATAGACTATGTTATGCTGTGTAGCTAGATCTGCACTAGTATAGCTAGTTTACTGTATAATAACTGGAGGTTTACGCGACCTATTTATATATCCAATTGTGCAGCTTCTAGTTCTGTTATAAGGGTGGCATAGATTTTTTGTTGTCACAATGTTGTGTATTTTACTTAAGTGAAGTTTTGCACTTTTAGTTATAATTTAGTAGCTCGATGAGATTACATTTTTAAGCATTTCTATTGGTGCTGGTCACAACTAGGTCGTACGTTTCGCTACTTGTAAAGCACTTGAATAATCTGTACCTACGTAACAGAACGGGCGGTTTCCTCTTCAAAAGAGGAGTTGGGGTTGGAATTTTACACAAGAACGCAATTCACTTTCCCAACTCCCTATTTACCTGTTTAAAGAAGCTTGCAGTATTTGGCTACAATTTGGGCCTTTAGTTGGCAGTTAAACGTGTATGTGACAAGCCTTGCAAGTAGCACAAGGTTGGCTTTCACCCTTGTTTACTGTTTAGTCGCTATTATCGAGCTGTATCAAGGGACTCTACTCAACTGACAACTGGTTAAAATAAGGATTTATCGCTATATCGCCCATTCGGCATTTGTAAAGGCAGCTTTTTAAACTTTAAATTTCCATGAAACGTATAATAATATCTAAGGTATCCAGCTGGACCTTTGTTTGTAGTGAAAGTTAACTCTGGTTGAATAGTTGTGGTCAATTGTCGCTAGTTTTTAGCTGTTATATGTGCTAAATTTGTTGTTAGATTGTTATGCACGCACGATTGAACGAGTCATTCGAGATTTTAGTTGTTTGGTTAAAGCGACGGCAAGTCGAGTTCTGCAGTAATTGGATTGTTAAGTAGTTGTGTAGTTCTAGCATCACGTCCAGTTTAGGGGCGGTATTAACTGAATTATTGACAAATCTCAAGGACTTTCTCAGTTAAGTTTTCTTTCAAGGTAAAAGATACACGTTAGGTGGAGACGTGTTATACCTAGATATTACTTACAGTCTTTACTTTAACCATCACTTAGTGTCCTTGATATCTAACGTTGAAGTGTTGTTGAAGTGTTTTCAAGTGTCAGAAAATAATCCCAAATTTCTTTAACTTGTTAAACTCGTGTAATCTCAAGTTTAATTTCTATTTAAAGTCCCCCAGAGCCTAACCGTGCCAGGCTGTCTGTCCTTGTATACTGGTATTACACATGTCTCTATACTGGTATTACACATATCTCTATACTGGTAATATTACACATGTCTCTAATAGTCTCTACACACAACATGATAATCTGCTTCTGAGTACACATTACTTCTAACACGTTTTATCGTTGTTACTCTCGTATCATGTCGGGGTATCGTATCACGTGTTGTTTGGTTGATAACGTCAGTTATAGATTGTGTTGTTTAGCTGGTGATGGCGGTGATTTCCCCTAAAATCATGGTGATCACCATCATTTACCATCCCCCTCCACTTTACACAGGGTAGGTTTGTTTGGTAGTGTTTGAACCTTCTTTTACTAAAATTTAACGGATCATGGATAACTTTAAATTTTTAGTGAACAATATTTTGTGATGCTTTATTATTTATGGTGAGTATTAGTGCTGAGTTAGTTAGGTGTTTTACAGACTTACCGCTTCAGGACGTACCCTAAATCCTTGACGATGAGTCCAAAAACAGAAGAGCTTTTCGAAACTAGTCCAATCACTGATACCACGGTAAGTTTTCTTATAACTTTAAATTTAGTTTAATAGATTTATTATGAAGTCTGTAAGCACACATTTTATATGTAGGCATAATTATAAACGAATACATTAAAAATGAACTGCCAGGAACCCGAAGTAGGGGAGACGAAAGTGAGTATAATGACTGTTATGACTTGTTATGACTTGTTATGACTAGTTATGCTGGAAATGAGATAGAGACCCGATTAGTTATAGTCACAATTAAGCACTTTTCTTGACGATCAGAAGCCGAAGAACGTAGCTTTAAAAAATTTAAATGCAATTTTTGGCAGCATGAAACTGGTCCGTTCAAACGAATCTAGATTAAAATCGCTCACTGTCTCTAGTACAGGTCTCTATTTCAAATACAAAATACTTCCGTGTTGGGTTTTATCAGTGGAATGGCTGGTTCACAATTTTGTTTATGTCCGAGTTTAAAATGATTGATTGTTTTGAAATTTCACGAAAGTTTTATTCACAAGCATGCTCATGATTTTATATGTATGACCAAAAACATATGTTTTTCTCCAATAGAATGCTTGAGAACAAATCTTATCGAGAATAAAATTAAACAAGGCTGCATGGTTAATGTTATTTATAACTCAATTAAAATATGATACTAGAAACTATTAAAACTAGAAAGTAAACAAAGCACGATTATTTTAATTCTACCTCCATATTCCATGAAATGAGACACGGAACACGGCATGTTTAATGTTTATCGAAAACAATACCAAATATTTTACCAAATGACAGTTAACAGATTCGCATCTTACCGAAATCTCAAGCCCATAAGTCATCATCACAATGTTGATATGTTGAACATGTTGATATTACAACCTGACTCACATAAAACCCCTCCAGATGTTCAAAGACACGCTAATGAAGGATATAATGAGTACCTTTTCCTTCCTGGACGATCAGCCCGATGAGGAGTCCGTTCGGCCGAGTCCGGTTCCAAGTTATACACCCCGGCCGAGTCCTGAACCTTGTTGCACTCCGAGTCTTAAAGATAGGGACTCGCCCATGCAGGATGATCTTCCCGTACGTTTTTCTGTTAAATTTTATGTAAACAATTTTCTTCAATACGTGGGAATATAGGTGGGAAGGTTTGTCTTACTTATGAAAATTATTTGCGGTTTAATTGTTCGCTCCTACAGATTGATGGGCAAATCGCTGACTTTTATCAAAACAAACATGTTTAACCGGTTTTTGCCAGTGACCCTAGCCAAATGCATAAGTTATAACTTGAAAAGTTTACAAATAAGATATATTATGTTGAAAAATCTCGAGAAAGTTCTAGAATAGTATGATATTAAAGATACGATCAAAACATAATATGATCAAAACGTTGTTTTGAATTTGATTTCAATGTCATAATACGATCGTATCATGCTACGAATTATAAAGATTACTTAAAATTTTAAAATTCTATTGCGGCCACTGGACACATTGTTAAATTTTGAATCCCGAGGATTCTCATTTTAGAATCTATGATCGTTTAAATCTTCCTGATAATGATGCTTGTGAACATTTATTTTTGCATATTGATGCTATAATTTTAGAATTAGTTATAAATAGTTAAACTTTTATAGTAGGATAAAATAGGATAATTCTTGCTCACTATAACAGTTGACGTTTAAGAATTTGAATAGGACTTCTTAAAATGACAAGTTTTACTAATTTTTAATATTCGATCACGACTGACCTCACTGATCCCCAGGCACAATCGAGGACCCCGGACTCTCTCGCCCCTCTATCACCCCGACTAGATCCTATCACCACACATGGTCGTACCTTCCTGCTGCCCGAACCTGTTCTAAATAAGTTACAGAGCGTAAGTTTACAGGTTTTATCTCGTATTCCCGCGCATGTTAGATAGATAGTGAGATGAGGGGTAGAAACTAGAAACTTGGAGAAGTAGAATTGAAACAATCTAGAAGAAGGTAGTGTTCTCTGAGAAGCTGATAGTTAAACGGTCTATTTTAAGGTAGGTACTCCATTTATAACTCCACTTACCGATCTTTGTTTATCGTTTGTAATTGTCTCAGATTTCAGCCCATTTTTAATGCTCGGTTTTGAGGGGGGGGGGGGGGGGGGGGTGGAAGGAAAACCCCATGCTTAAATATTCCTCAACTTCTCTAGAATAGTCTGATATTAAAGATATGATATTAAAGATATGGTCAAAACGATGTTTTGTATTTGATTTTGTTGACCAAATAAAAATACCAAGGTATTAATTATTATGCTATGACTTATTAGGATAATTTATAATAAACAATTTCTATTGTGGCCCTCTTGAGATACGTTGTTAAATTTTGAATTTTGAGAATTCTGAGCATTTTAGAATCTATGATCGTTTAAATCTTCCTGATAGTGATGCTTGTGAACATTTATGTAGGAGTATTGATGCTGTAATTTTATAATATTTAAACTTTTTATAGTACGTGAAAATAGGAAATCGGATAATTCATGTCAAATACAGTGACGTTAATACATTTAAATAGGACAATTGGAAAAATTTAACATAAGTTTTATCAATCGACGAGGAGTAGAATCCTGGAGAATTAAAAACAATCTAGAAGAAGGTAGTGTTTTCTAAGAAGCCGATGTTGAAATGATCTATATTAGGATTTGTACTCCATTAATAAACTCCATTTGTCGTGCTTTGATATCTCGCTAGTCTTGCAGATTTCAGCCGATTTTTTGATACTGTGTCAGTGCCTTTAGATGATACCCGACGCTAGTTTTGCACCGTAAAATGCCGGCGTTAGGCCTGGCATCTGTAAATTTAAACATTATATTGTTCATCTGTTAGAAAACGGATAGTTTCAACAATAAGTAGAATAATATCAAAGAATGAAGATTTCAATGGATGATATCCACCATGTTTACGGAGGCTTTTTGAACGAAACAAGTTTTTTGAACAAACGGGCGCTATATTATCACCGGACCAGCATTAGCCCCCCTGGGGACCCGGTGGTTCAGGTAGGCCAGTCATCACCTTTTCAAACAAACTAATGGAGAGAGGAAGGAAGGGGGAGGGGGGCCTTGGCATCACCTTTTCAAACAAACTAATGGAGAGAGAGAGGGGGGGGGGGGGGGGGGGGGAAGCATCGATGGACAAAGCCTTAAAAACAGCTAAAATTTGAGTTTATGATATGAATAAACATGACCATTTAGTTGAACCAAAAAAAGCCTAACAGTATAAATATTCAGCTGAACTGAAAAATTCCACGCAACCTAATGGTTAAAATCCTCAGTTGGACCAGGAAATGCCGGAAGAGATAGATATAGAGACAGATACGGACTATAGAGACGACGTTGATCACGACGGATCAGGCGGCTCCCGGCTTGCTGCCCAATCATCATGGTGCGTTGTTTTGTCGTCGTCTTTTGTTGAAACCTGGCGGGGAAGCTCATCGGCATTGACATAATTGCCATTTTCCATTCCTTACATTTTCTAAATATTTGTACATTGTTGTGAATTTTCCTAAATGTTTTCAAAGATGAAAGCAGAAAATGTCGATGAGCCTCCTTTATTGTTCAAGAAATAGGTAATGTTCATGTTGAATGTATTAACGTAGTTTTTTCTGCTGCCCTCTTAACATTTCAGCACCAAAAATATATGTTTAACCTATGTTTTTTTGCACAGTTCGCTTTTAATCTTGCTCCTTACTCTTACCTAGTCTGATCACAGACAGAGCTAGTTTAACCCTGAAAACTCTACCGAATGCTTTTGAGCCTATTTGCAGTCAAACCTTGAGCAACTGCTCAAATGGGTGTTTTTATTGCCAATTATTATGTAACCGGACCCAAATACCACGACACTACGCCATCCCGCTACCTACCAGAGGACTCAGGGTTTGGCTGCTGCATTATTTAGCTCTAAGCTTATCTAAGCTGGTCTCTGCTCCAGGAACAAGGAAGGGTTGCCCCCATCGCCTCTGCAGCGGGGCGGTCCCGCGCGCACGCCCTACTCGCGGTCCCAGAGCGTCACAGACCCGCCTCCCGCTCATCTGGTCCGCTCCAGGTACAATACCCCGTATTCCTTATACGGTAGTGTTACTGTGGTAACATTACCTTATTTGGTAATATCCCGGGGATCAGGTCTCAGCTAGCAGATCTTGGTTCCGGGTAAAACTGGGCGCTATGCTAATTATTGCGTGATATGACAGCACTTTTATCTACATGTTATGCATGAAATTCTCTTTCTCTTTCTCTAAGCTGATTTGACTTAACCTGCATCCTTACTGTGGTTACTAAATTGGTGACGCTATGGTCACTGTATTCGTAACTGTGGTTACTGTATTGGTTCCTATGGTTACCTGACTAATATTTACAGCTCAACAAACTACGCTGGAACTTGGAGTGAAGTCCAGTAAGTTCTTGTTTATTTTGTTTGTCTAGTGAGGGATGATCATGTGAGGTTGTGTGTGTAAAGTGAGGATATTAAGAGGTTTAGTGTGAGAGTGAGGTTATCACGAGGTTTAGTGTGAGGTTGATAAATGATAAGGAATATTTCGTGAGATTTTAATACAATTGAATTATGCGCGGAGCAGCAATGAATTTCTTTATGCACGTGCATTCTCACTTGCATTATTGATAGATACAGAAAAACACTGAAATAACTATAAGTCTTGATAACGATGGTTGGTGAACGGTGGTATTTTACTATAATGCTTTTTCAAGTACATTATAATTTATATACTGATGAGTTGGTAGAAAGAGGTAAATACTTCCACTGAACAGTGTTTAGAGATAATCTTGAGATGCACTAGAGCTGTGAACCAAATTCACTGGGTTGCATCACAAACAGTTTATGATTATAGAAACAGGTATAATTTAACCTAAATGATGTATGTTGAAGCTGCTGTGAGATTGTTCTGTCAAATTAGGTGACTGAGCAACGATCACTGAGTCTGGTTACCATCATGCGATTAATTACAAAATTGGGTTAATTAATTGATTTGATTAGACTGTATTTTACATACTTAAATATGATGTAACAGTCCGATTGACCTTCTAGAAAAATCTCCGATTTGTCCGGACTGAAACTGATCGGGTGATTTAAGTTCCCCGTTTATATTCAAAGAGAGCTAAGCGATAAGCGTGGGCAGTGACATCCCCATTTACTCCAAGCAGGGAAATAACCACTTTAATTCAGATATAACGGCAGTGCTGGAGTATTTAAGTTGCGTTGTTTGAATTCTGGGGAACTGGGAAGGGCCACCCATGTATGAGCAAATTATACAGTATACACCTGTAGTGTGTAATATGCTAGTATTATCTAGCATATTAGGAACCCGCTAGTCAAAATGCAGCTCTAAAATAACTATAAGCATAATCTTCTAATTTTGTTTTGTCATATGGAACCGTATACAATTTTTTACCGATGACAACAAAGTAGAATCTTTTTACTGGATCAAAAATATCAATCACAAATAAATTTATGAATAGTCAGAGTATGAGCGCAGAAGTGAGCTAATTGTGATGTAATCAACAAAAACACGCGGTTCTGCGATGTATCTAGACGACATAACTGATTTTAAATTTCGTTGAATACAGCTTCCGACTAGCGGGGTCCTAGTCGTCTATGTTATAATTTAAAGTTTTCTCTCTGTCCGACCGCCCACGTGCAAATTTGATGAGAGATAGGAAGTTGTATAGTAATGAGGGTGGAGCGCGCACGTGCAATGATTGTTAGAACGACATTATGATTGGTTTTGTGGTTATTACGTTGTTTTTAGAGTTTTTTACAAAATAATCGGCTATTAGGTCAGGAAGGATATGTTTTCATGCAATAAAAACTGGTTATCAAAGAATACAATTAGCATCGTCCCTGTGATCACGGGCTTTCAAATATACAATACAGTACCTTTATTGAATGATGTATCTGTCACGTGAGCGTATGTAATACTGTAGTCCTACTATTAACATTGAGAGTGCTTTTACCGCTGTTGTAAGTCGCTTTCTTGCGGTGACATTTAAGCCACTTTCACTACCAGATCAAAATGCTTTTAGTTGATATGACGAGTGGAGTTTTCGTTTTTATCGTTGAACTTAAACATCGGTTATGAAATACTGATAAAATATGACTGTTATCCAATATCCACGGCCGTCGGCCACCAATTTGTCATTCTAACGCCAGGATGTCAAAATTTCGTCGTTTTATAATTTTATCTTGCTGCAGATCGTACGCCGAGAAGCATTTTCTTCTGTGAGTGTTTCTGGAATGAACGTGTTGACTCCCTAACTAGAAGTCACGTGCTAGATCAACACGTGCTAGATCACGCGTTATGAATCACGCAAATTTTAGTTAGGGTCTCAGAATGGAACAATTTGATTTTTACGTGACCTTTGATGAATAATATATTATACCTATGGAAGATTTGTAACAGCGTGTGCACGGAACTTTCCAGATTACTGTCCTAAATCCTAATGGTTGTGCAAGAACCTAAGTAGATTAGTTGTCCAACGTGCACAGACCACAATAGATTAGTTGTCCTACGTGCACGGAGCTCAGTAGATTAGTTGTCCTACGTGTACGGAGCACAATAGATTAGTTGTCCTACGTGCACGGAGCTCAGTAGATTACTGTCCAAAAAGGTCTCTGATCACGTGGCTTATTATATTTATCTGAATAGTGTTACTGTGTGAGATTATGTGCAATTAAATGAGATTGATAGTAAGTGTTCTGATTTGGGGAGAGCATCCTGATTTTAATATGCTAGTTATAATCTGTACTTGTATGGTAATCACTATATATTTAACGATTGATGATTTATTATTATTTGAAATTCTCCGACCTGATGCCAGTAAATTGATGATTAATCCTAAAAGTTCGTGCATCTTTATACCCCTAGTTCTAGAGGTTTACCTTTTAGATCATGATTATTACGTTAACGTTCACAGGACTACATCGTTCAAGTTCATGCGTTCAAAGGAGGAGCAAGATACCAACGTGAGTAACTACAATTCAGAGGAGATGAAAACAAATGTTAATACTGGCAGGAAAATGGTGAATTCTGCATCTGGCATCATCAAAATTGGATAAATTTGTTGCAATGCTAATTCGTTTTGCTTGATGTAAAACATGATCTTTTGATTAAAAATGAATGGCATAGATTATCGCCAAATGTTCAATCTCCAAATGTTCATTGTTCATTAATCTCCATTATATTTGAGTTTTCAAGATTACTTGTTTTATTTCTCTTGTTCACACTCCAACCTACCAGTGCAGGTGTTTTTAGTTCATATTAACAATACCCTCCTCAGGCACATTTCTCTGGCAGAAGAAATAGGAAGAGAAGGAGTATTCAGAAGGTTAAGAAGGATGGATCTAACAGACTCAGTAGATCTATGGAGGACCTAGACTGTTTGGAACTTAGTGCTCTGGAAGAGAAAGTGAGTCGTCTTATCTTACAGAAATCCATAGTCACGTGATATTAAATTATAAACTGATTATTAGAACGAACCACAGCTTTCTAAACACTTGTCCCCACAGCCCAAGACGGAGGCCCCTCACAGAACTGAAAGCACCAGCACGACCCAGAACTCAGCCCTGCCCACACTTAACCACATATTCAAGAGTGTGCCGGCTCCTAGGGGCAGTGTGTGCAACTCTTGTGGCAAGAAACTTCAGGTACCTTCCAGATCTTTCCTTGTGTTTCATTCTATATTCTTGCCTTTTATTTCATCCAAAACATTTAACTTCCTTGCTATTTCCTTGTGTTCCGTATAAAATATTTCTTGAACTCGCCTTGTGTTTTATAATTATTCTAAACGCACATATTTGCACGTGCAGTTGTTAACAAATTCACCTTTCCAGGCGCGTATATTTGCACGTGCGATGCAGTGTCAAGCACAGACGTGTCACAAGATATTCCACCGGAACTGCCAAGAAAAAGCAGGACAGTGTATGCCGACCTATGAACAACCAAAGAGAGTTCTTGCTAACAACCTTGGGGAAATCCTCATGTTGGAGAAATTCATCTTGCAGAAGGTATTATTAGTTCTTACTGCTAATGTTTAACAACTTATGAAACCTCTGAAGAAATCTTGTTTTTCAGCTCATTTAACTGATTTGACAATTTTAATCAAATTTCAGTCGTCATAAGCTAAGTGGCATTACGAATAATAAATTGCCGTATTTAGAACAGACGTTGCTTGATTTCTGAAATCCTTACAAACAATCCCACCGCCTAGTATGATAGTATAATCACCTCGTATTCTAATATGACCATATTTGGTAACAAACTGACTCCTCTCAGATAAAGGAGTTACAGAACCAGGGGGAGAAAGTAGTGCACGACAAGACGATAAGTAAAACGTTTATCAGTGTTCTGAAGGAGTTCCAGGAGTATCTGACTAGAACTCAGGCATCCCTTTCTGCTAATCCTACCAGCAATATCTTCAATCTTTACTACGAGGTTTGTTCCTAACTAGCTAACTAAAAGTAAACAGTTTGTATTTATGTTTGGAAACTGCTGGGTTTCGCTGTAATCTTTGAGGAAGAATGTTTAGAATTTTTTTAAACACTAAATTCTCACTCAAATTGACTGAACATTTTGGGTGAAAAGAAGAGGTCCTGTATGTCCAGTTGCAGTATATAGAGAGAATTAGCTGTATTTGTATTTCAGTATTAGTAATAGATTCTCGTACAATTATAAACCTAAAAGTAAAATGAGGTAATAAAACTCATTTTCCACTTCCTGATTAAATCATAACAAAATTTGTTCATAACAGGAAATCCACCGGTCTGATTACGTATTATGTGATACTGATATTGATAATCGTTCAAACTGCCAAATAATAGCTCCAAACCGTTTGTTAATTGTACATAATGTCTGACGTGTCAAGCACGTGACACGTGCACTTTGAAATAGCACGTGTCACGTGTAAAATACCACGTGTCACGTGTAAAATAGCACGTGTCACGTGTAAAATACAACGTGTCACACCTCACCAGTCAACACACTAGAACATGGGCTAATCGCCCGACCTGACGTAAAGCCAAACACATGAACCAACAAAAAGACATTAGCTAGAAGAATGAGTCCTTCTGTTCATTGAATTAGTATCTCTAGAAAGGAATCTGACTTCTGAGTGAAAAAAAAAGCTTTTACTCTTAACCGACCTAAAGTGTAAAGTTGTAAATCATTTCATTAGTTCATTGTTCGGTGTTTACTCATAGTGTTCGCTGGTATTTGCTCCTGGTATTTGAATCGTTTCAGAAGCAGGTCTCAAGAGATTAGGTAAATTATGAGCAGGACCTGCCACCAAATTAATTAACATTGACATGGATCAAGACTTCTACTTTCACCCAAAACTAGTCCTGTCCTGAACAGTTTTGTTGTTTCATTTCGTTAGTCGAACGGTTACATCACTTGATTATCACTGCTTATATAAACTCGTTTCATTTCAGGAGTGTACGACTATATTCGAGCACTGCCTCACCAAAGTCAAGACTCGCAGCCAAGAACTGAAGCTCTCCATAGACCCCAAACTCCCTGTCAAAGCGCTCTTCCACTCCATGTTGGAAAACTTCGATTTCTGTCGCCACGAGGTAAGATATTTGTTTTGTCTGCTGCTTCATTTTCTCGTGATTTTCATTGTTCGCTATTTCTTTGTGCCATCTCTTTGTGAGTGGTGGTGTTTACTTTCTCCGTTGCTGGGCCCTTGTAATATGTCTGATCCTTGCTTCTGGTGCTCAGACTTTGACGTCACCTCATTTTTTCGTCTTTGAAATTCTTCTGCAATTCCTTTTTGAGTCAATTTCTTAACGCTAGTCTGCTGTATCTTTAGGGTCTTTAAGTGTACTGCAATAGTTATATGACATAGTGCTATAGTGCTAAGTCTGAGGTAATGTTATTATTAATAGCATTGCTGCAGTTGCGCAATATCACTATTGCAGTTAGTACTGGGTAATGTTATTCGAATTCATTCCGAAGTTTGCGCACTGCATTATTCTTAGTTGTCTGCGATTCTTAATTCATCATTACCCAAGATTTTTCATAATCCCTGGCATATTTAAAGAATTGTACCTGCTATTTATCTAGATATATCTTATCTATATTTATATGTGGAATGTTGATGGTTCGTATTTGTAGGCCTCGTTTAAAGAGGACGCCAGGAAGAGTCTGCTAGCAACCTACACTGTCAGAGAGAGGCTAACCTTATCTAGAGCTAACAAAGCCGGTATCATCGAACATAACGGACACAGGTTAGCAGTAACATTACTTATCAATAAAGATTTTTATTGGTTAATCGATTATTTTATTACGGGTATATGCCTCACAGAGTACTGGGTGATGCAAAAAGGATGTCATGATTTATAAAATAATTATGAAGGAGTAAATTTTGGAATGTGGTTTGCGATTAATCCACAAACGGTAAAAAATTTATTCGTGCTTCTCATTTGATCCTGACTCTGAAATTACAGCCATTTGGAATCCTGACACCCTTTTTGCATCGCCTGTTTTTGATTAATTAATAGGTTGGCTGTTTCAGCTCATTGTTGATGTCTAGTTGATTTATCACAGCTTGAATCGATGTTGAGTAGCTTAAAACAACGTGTATGGTGAATGAATAAATAACTTAGTTTTTCTAATCGATAATCAGTGAAGTTTTGAGAAGTCAATTAATTATGGCGTGTTTTCCCAGTTTTTTTTGAAATTTTGATCGGTATTTTAAAATAATAACAATTTCAGGCTAGTTTTAACGGCTTACGGTATTGTCATGACGTGTGTAGGCTGCAAGAAACGTATAAACATCCTGGAACACTGCAAGATATGTCAGGAGTGCAAAGTCAACTTCCATCAGGTTTACAAACGCTTTATGATACAAGAAACCGGTTACAGAAATGCAATCACAATGCATCTTAACAATTACAAAAATGCTAAGATAACTCACCCAATTAAATACAAAAATCCGTTTTTATCATTTACAAAAAAGCTACAAACTGACTTGTATCAATTACAGAAATGCTACAAGAATTCGACACAGCAGTGTACAGGAATCCCGGTTACAAGCCCAAGTGCCCAACCCAAGCCCTTCTTCGGAACCTCTATACAGGATCTGGTGGCTAGTGAAGGCGGTGTTACGATCCCCAGGAACCTGGATAAAATGATGCTCGTCTTAGAACAAAACGGTTAGATTCCTTTTTCCGTATAATTGTACAATCAATATACTAGAATGTCCATAAATTTTGGTACATTTTTGTGAATGCTCCTTATCAGTTTCAACTATTTCGTTTTTTCTCGTCACAACTCACATGACCACAAGCAAACAAATCTCAAGATAACATTTACTTGTATTTACAGGTTTATACACGTTGGGATTGTATCGTGTTAACGCTAATCAGAACCAGATGAAGAGTCTGAAAAACAAGCTCCTCGTCAACAATCCAGATCTCAGTATAGACGGTAAGTTTGATTGTTTGTTAATAATAACTCCTAACCAATAATACCAGATCCCTGTATTGACGATCGTGGTAAGGGTTGTGTGCTCAGTGTATTTTAATGCTTGTTGGGCCAAATTTAAAATGTATGTGTATTGTGCCAAAGTTTAGGATTTTGCCATCGATAAGTTTTATATTATCATCCGAGTTTTAAGTTTTCGTTATCTATTGGTACAATGTACATGCATTACGATATTTTCAAGTTTCTAAACAAATTCTCTATCTTCAGGAATAGTACCAGCCACCTTATCCGCGATGGTGAAGATGTTCTTCAGGGAGTTACCGGAGCCCATCCTCACCTTCAACCTCTACCACGACTTCATGAACACCAGCAAGATAGAACTGGGATCTCGTCACAGGGCTCTGTTAGAACTGGTTCACAAACTGCCACGTGTTAATTTCCTGGTGTTTGAGCGGCTTGTCTACCATTTAGCTCAAGTGGCCAACGAGGTACGGGACCAATAATAATACATACCTGTTTTTTGTGTTACAACATATTAACGATCGTCTCTTCATTTTCACAAATTTTTGTGTACATTTTATTACATTCAACACATTTTTAGTTAGTTTTAGTCACTTATTAACGTCCATCTAACTAACACCCATTTCCCCCAGGAGTCAACTAACAAGATGAACGCCAGCAGTCTGGCGGTGATATTCGCACCCAACCTGCTGCGCCCCCTCAAGGAGCCCTCAGCAATGCAAGCTCTAGAGGAAGTGAAACACAGAACTGTGGTTATACAGAGTATAATCGAGAGTATGATTAAGAAATATGTCGCAACTCTGGCCAAGATTAATAGTCTTGATGCGGTGAGTTTGGAACTCTACTCATGTTATTACTTTGTGTGTCATTTTGGACCGGGGGTATCTTTAAATTGTCCCTCCATGTTTTAAGTGTCATAAATTTTTGTCAGTGTCTTGTTATAATGAGTGTGTGACACAGTCTAATGAACATGTCACGTATAATTGAAACTTTAAGTAGGTATGAGAGTAGTTGAGTTCTTCAGAACTCTAATTAATTGTATTTAAAGTCTGTGCCACATACGTAACACCACGTGACATGACGTCACACCACGTGACATGACGTCACACCACTGCACGTGACTCATCTCACGTATAATTATAACTTTAAGTAGGTATCGGGGCAGTACACAGAACATTATACTAAATTGTCTGTTAGTTTAAAGTCTGCTGTTAGGGTTCAATGTGGCCCCCTTTTACGTGCTAACTGTCTTACAGTTTTAATATCACTGCCAGCTAGTTTCTACAGTTTAAATATCACTGCCAATAACTTTCTACTGATATGTATTAACACTGTCTTACAATGTTCTAAAACCCAGTATGTCTCCCGCTGTGTGAACTGTGTATTTTCGGAAGTACAATATGCTAAATTCACACTGTACATAAAACCTGTGACGTAGCCAACATTCCCGCCATTCCGCGTGTGTAATTCCTACTCTCACTAATCGTGTAGCAATCATTAAAACCATATGTGCTGGGGAACCCGACATAAAATTACAGTGCTCAAATATCCTGGATTTTCTTGCTGCTAACTTTTAAAACTGATAACTTTTCCCTGCATATGTTTCGGATTTTTGTCTGCATTTTTGGTGCACTTTTGTGGTTTCTCCGAAGAGAATCACTCGATGCAGTGGGTCGAATTTCCTTATTTCTACATTTTCAAGCCGTCGTATAGTTTGAAATTCTGTCGTAAATTTTCAGCAATTATGTAATTTTGCGGCAATCAAGCGTTGATTAAAAAATTGCTAGAAACAGCAAGTCTTGGCAAGGAACATGCAGTTCTTCTGCACATTGTATTTATAGATTTATTGTGTTAGAGCTTCTTTGCCGATGTGCTGTTTGTTGTGAATGTTCTGCAGTTGGCTACGAGTTTTGTTTCTTGGTTAACTTTGTTTCGGAATGTTATGACGGGAAATTTACCTTGCTCTCCACGGTCATTATATTCTGTAGAAGCAAGATTTAAGTAAGACAATGCTGAAAAATATGTATAGGAATGTTCTTGAAATAAGTTTAAGTTAGCCTAGAAATGATTGTGAGAATTTCTGAAAAATATGTATACGAATGCTCTTGAATAATGTTTAAGTTAGGCTAGAAATGATTGTGAGAATTTAGCGTGTTGATCAGTTCAGTAAGACATTGCCATGGTGTTGTCTCCGCGCGAGTCTGCGTTCGTGCGCAGAGTTCTGCGGAGGGCTCCTACCTCTGATGACGTCACACCACGTGTTATGACGTCATCGTCTCTGAGCGGCGAGATAACCTTGTATTGGAATGATCGGAGGTTGATCTATATAGGGGATTTCTCACTGTCAAGTGTAGGTCTTGGGAAGGAGAATTGTACTTTTAAGTTCATTTCTGTATTGTGTAAATCATCCGAACATTTCATGAATGCTAATCATCAATGATTGGCACTTAAATAATAACCTATTGAGCTCTACAATCACCGTGTTACCGTGTACTGCCCATATTTTCGTTTGTCTGAGGTACTCTTCCGACAGTTCATTGTATTCGATATACTTGCAGTTTTAAGTAGATATGTCCAATTAGTTGCTTTATACCCTGTAATTTAATAAGTTTGTCCTGTCTCCAGTCTCCACACTCCATCTGTCTTATGACAGGAATCATTTTACGCTTTTATACTAACACATCCACCACCACAGGGAGACACAACAGAGGACACAGCACGGAGGAAAGCAGAATGTCTGGTGCAGCTAGCTCAGATGCCGAATCCAGAGGATATGATGGGACCTCCTGGATCTGAATCTGTTACTTCCGACACTGAGTCTTCTGCCTCCGCAAGCATCTCTCAAGGTAGGGTCTTCACTTTATGTGGGTTTTTAGTTTAAATCTAAGTTTATTCATAAATATTCTTTTCGGAGGTATTTTTCGGTATTTTACATATTTTGACAACTCTATTCAAGTGGGATAATGGCTGAATTTTTCACCATTTACCCGTGAATCTCAAAAAGCTAATTGATTCCACTCCCTAACAGGTATAGAGCCTCTGAGACATGTTACAAGGACCAGACCGAGTCATAACGACAGAAGAGCACCGACACGTAGACACTCTACATCTCCTAACCCTAGTCCTAGTTAGTGCCTATTATACGTTTATTAGTTTATTAAATTAGTTCTTTAAATACCTAAAATGATCTCATTTTAGTCTCCTAATGCCATTAGCTCGTCAGTAAAACCACTAATCTTGCTTTTCTCTTTAAAAACAGGTCAACCCAACCGAATGGTAATTAATAGTGCTTTTAAAACAAATTAGACGCAACCTTACTTGCTATGTAGTAAACTTAGCTATGCTCTCTCAGCTATAGTTTTGAGAAATCAAAAATCAACCCAAAAGGGACAATAGTTAAAACATGCTACAAAACTTAAATTAATCTCTGCTGGGCTCTCCTATGTCACCATGTACATATTATTATCTAGGTACGGTGTCCTTTTGTTTGAATACTCGGTTAATTGATATAATGATTATTGATGAAGTGGAGAAATTGTCAAGCTCAGCTCACTCTCAAAATTCACCGAAAGCAGTAACCCTCGGCCTCGGCGCTTGTCTAAAAATGCTAAGTTCTTATGTACATGTTCATGAGTCGCTTTAGATGGCTTGAACTGAATCTTTAGATTTTGAGTTATTTTTGGCTATAAAGCGATGCATAAATTTCTAGTTATTATTATTATTATATTATAAATACAATAACCTTGTGTTTTTGAAAAACTTGAACAAATAATATGTTACAATTTCAAATACAAACGTCACAAAATCTAATAAGTCTACAAAATGCTACCAGTACCTAAATCAATAGCTAAATCGATAATTAACTCACTGATTACAGAGACGTTCTGTCAATTTGTTCTCCAGTAATCCAACTTTTATAACTATCTGCTAATTCTTACGATGCAAAATGAAAAGAGCAGAATATCATGAAATATACGCCTGGATATTTTATGTTATAATTTACGGAAAAACTTAACTAGAAATATGTTACATTTTCAAATACCACATCAAAAAATGTACAAAATCAAATACGAAAAGTACCTAAATCAGAACCTAAATCTTGTCAAAATTTGTCTCGATTTCAGTTCAAAAATTTAAAGAATTCAGCATAATAACCTAAAGTTCCTGGCGGAGTTCATATGGAACAAAATGATGATTAAGAGGAGGAACTTTGCCCTCGTAGATACTCCTAAGATATGTCACAAGGCTGGGGAGATCTTTTTCTGGTTCCCCGGTCATTTTGAGGGTGTCTTTGTGAGGGCTCCTTAATTTAGTTGTTATGGTGAACTGAACATTCTCAAGGTAATTTCCCTGAGCAAGAACAAGAAGGTAAACAGATCCGTACTCTTCTTTAGGAACTGTCGTGGTGACTGTGTTCTGCTTTCCACCGGACGGATCGAAAAACTTAATACCTCTGTTTGTTGCACTTGATCGCCAGCAGATGTTGTTCCTCATCATGGAGCAGGTGCAGAGAAAGGAAGCAACACCACCTGGTGCCTCGTTTACAGCTTCAGATACAAGGGTGGTGACTGTCAGGGATCTCTGGTCGTACGTGTCCTCGAAACAGATTGGGACCTTGTACTGTCCGGTGTCTCCTGACCTTAGATCGTCTACAAATGGAATGGAGATTTGTTCTAGCGTTTGGATATCACGTGATTTAGCCAGGGAAAGGTTCTCAGGTACTGTCTGAACTGCATCCATTCCATCAGGAATGTGGTCATGAGGTGGGCTGACAGAGAGTTCTAAACCGTATTGAAAAGTTGGGGTGCCCTGACGAGCTGTTATCTGAATGTAAATGGCGTCAGAACCCCAAGTAGTACTTTTGTAAGTGAAAGGTTTTGCGAAAGGTTGAGGATCTGCTCCGGGTGTAGCATCCCTAACATTATCCCTAACTATCCTCGTCATGTCCGGCTTATTAGAGACTTTAATATGCATCCACGTATCATCACCTATCTTATCTGCGTCCCAAGGCTCGTTCAGCACATACACCTTAGCTTTGAAGGACCAATTGTTAATCTCATTACACAGTGGTGCCCTGAAGATCTGGGTGTCACCACCTTCAATGATCAGAGCTGAGTCAGGAATGAAGCTGAGTGTCATGGTGCCGTATTTGGTGGGTTTTGTGGTGAGGCAGGGATAGAGGAGTACGGTAAGGGTAGCAATTGTGAGCAGTATCATTGTTGCACAGCTCCTCTAGCTTTAAGAAAGATGCGTCATAGGATGATATGGAAGATAGCCTAGAAGATAAATATAGTGAAAATCCAGTAACTACATAATACTACAGCACGACTTACAGTCAAGTAAATTACTAAAAAATGCCTTTTATGCACCTTCTTAGCATTGGTGATTAACAACAGCATGTATCAATTTTAGGAAATTTTACCCGAAACGACTGAAGAAAAGGGTTGCTGATTTTAAAATCCAGCAAATCAACCAAAAATATCATGAAATCATGTTGACGACATTAGCACATGGCAAAATTTGAGTTGTAGTAGATCTGTAGCTTCTTGAGAAATTATAAGGACCAACTCCTTGAGAAATTATAATATGCTGGGAACTTTCTTCAGAAATTTATCCACTGATCTAGTGAGTCAGCATATCTTAATATTGTATCAAGTGAGATATGAAATAGTCTCCACCTTTCAATCGTGCCAGAAAGAATGAAAGATGGACAGTTCAAAACTCTAATTTTATGTTAGAGTTAAAACGGTAGAATTTAAGTTGAAAATGATATATCTTGGAAGATGACTGACAAAAAAGGGTCGAAAATAAAACGAAATTTTCAACAGCACGGTTAACACCCGCGCTTTAATTTAAGATTTGGCTATCAGGGAAAATTCCGGAAGCCCCCGAATACACACTTGAAGCATTAATTACTGAATTAGAAATTTTTAACAAAAATCTTTATTTGCTGGTATTTTATCGAGTTTAATAGTTATAACTATTGTTTGATTGTGTCTTTGAAATTATTAATTGTTTTAATTTCCTTTAATTTCCTTTACCCACAGGTAACTCGATGAAGGGGGGAGGACCTAAGAGTATAGCGGATGGAGTGCGGAAAAAGGACGGAAAAAGTCGTAAAAACAGGCCGATATACGGCGGCGGCTCTTTTAACTCCAACCACTTGTGAGGGTGATATAATAAGGACCGTTACGTGGATCTAACTTAGCCGCTCTTTGTAGATATTACTGAATAAGAAGATAAGAGATACAGTCAGGAGATAATAAAGAAGTAAGACAGTGGGTTTGGAGCGGGAGAGATATGGATGAGATTGGTAGATTTTGGTAGTTTTTGTAGTCATTCGAGAGGGGACCTTGAAATTGGGTACAAACAGTGTTATCTGTTTTCTCGTGAGCACACGTGACCAAATTGAAACCCATTTGTTTGATAGGAAATAAGGAAAGATCACATCATTATTACTCATTGTGTCAACAAAAGTTGGATTATGGAAACTTAGAACTAGGCAGTAGGTGTAGGTAGCAGTAGGTGTATAAAACTGGATTGTTTGCTATTGGGCTGGAACTAACCGTGCTACTGGAAAGTCTGTCTGAAAGACCTGTTAATTGACCAATTAACTAATTAGGTAGTTGAGTCATTTTAATTACCTAATTGAATAATTACTGTGGATCGAAATGTGTAATTTGTATACAACACCGACCTTTATCTAATCTTTTTTTATTTTGTGTATCGATGCTAGGGTCTGTAATATATAATTAAAACACCGAATTTAATCGGACATGATATTGATACGTTATCTTTAGCGGTAGAGATAATGTAACTGCACACTGAATAATATGCAAGAAGGTTCTGTACCGTCTTCGTAGCAAGTATTTTTACAATATTTTTAGGTTTTTGTTGAAAAATTAATGATTCCATAAGAGTAGACCACGGAAAAGAAGTGAGCTTTATGTAGCCATAGTTATCTGGTGATTTTAGATGTTATCTTTTAATAAGTTATTTTAGATATTGATCATTTTTATGGGTTGTTATGAAAATGATTTCGAAAATGAAACTTAGTCCCACGCTTTCTTACCACCTGTTCTACCGGGGAAGGCTGCTAATTACTTTATTTCTCTGTAGCCACTTCATTTTTTGACGCTGAATTTTTGACGTTGCTTATTTTTACCCCTTTATGTGTTTTTGATTGTAATTTTGGACATGTGCGATGCAGAGCACAATGCACATGGACTGAGGTCACGTGATAGATGAACGGTCACGTGAGAGTCGTGACCGGCTGAGAATTCGTACGTTTTTAAACGTAATATCTTGTAAAGTAATGTGTGTCCTTCTTCCGAGTTTAAAATGATAAATTATTTTATACATTCTGATTTTTATGTAATTGCCGAGTTTTACTTGTGCTCGTTAGCATAGCTTTTATGAGCGATTATGGATTACTTCTCCAACCAAACCTTGAATCTTACCTCGCTTACCACAGAAAATTAATGAGCAGTCTCGGTGTTTCCCATCTGTAAGTGTATAGTCATAGCTAGAGCTATACAGTATGATACTCATTATAGCCTTGAGCACTCGAGAGATCTGACAATGACAGGTCGCTAGCGTACCAGTTACCAGGCGTGCCTGAAATTTTACAGTTTTGGCTGAATTTCTCAACCGCAACCAATTAGTCAGCCAACTATAGATGGCATATGACACAATTGAGGTGCTGGAAGTTTGATTTCGGTCGTAGGAAGCTCACAGTAGAAAGCTTAACAAAACAAAAATTAATAGTTTTTAATTTCTGTCCCATTTTCGAATATGAAAATTTCTGAACACAATTTTGACAGATTGGATGGACTTTTTGCCCAAAGACCATTAGTCAGTTAATTGATGATGGTAAAGAAAATTGAAAAATCATGTTGTACCATTCTCTGTACTGATACTCGTAAAATATTTGTTTCAAATACCGTCGACGAGTCCAACTCTGAACTCGGCGCGCGTCTTAGTAGGTTATAGAGTATAGACCTAGTAGTAGTAGGTTATAGACCTAGTAGGTTATAGACCTAGTAGGTTATATACCTAGTAGGTTATAGACCTAGTAGGGTATAGACCTAGTAGATTATAGACCTAGTAGGTTATAGACCTAGTAGGTTATAGACCTAGTAGGTTATAGACCTAGTAGGTTATAGACCTAGTACAATTCTCTGTCCCATTTTCAGATTTTGAAGATGAAATTTGCAGGACCGCGACCGAAATTTTAACAGAACGAAAATTCATTGTTCCAATTTCCGGTACACTTTCTTTTACATGAAGACTGCATTCTGCAATCTTTCACTCGTGTTCAATATCAAAACTGAACTTTTAGCATATGAGCAGGGTATATGACGTGTACAATGTAGTTTACACTGATCACTAACATTAACCACCGCTCTACATTCAGCACTCATCAGTCGCCTGCTTGTCGGTGCAATCTTATATTCTTACATTTGTTTTGTTTTTGCCATGTCTTACAATTACTCAAACTTTACCCAATTTGGAATAAAAAATAATGGAGAAAGGTATGGTTGGGCCAGTTGGCTGGTATTTGTGATTATTTCTTCTCTGCTGGGGGACACGACCATAATCATTGGTTCGATCAAGTATAAAGCTTTCAGGCTTCATAAGATAGTTGTTGCATTTATCCAGCATCTGGAAGTCTGTGATTTGCTTATAACAGTTGGGACACTTGTCCACACACTCGCACATCTGATTTCAAACAGCGGAGGTTCCAGCAAAATAATACAACATCTCCAGTTCTTTATCATTTACCACAGCCATTCTGTAAGCTCTACTCTAGTCAGTGCGATGGCATTGAGCAAGCTCGTTCTGCTGAAATATCCTCTAAGAACGGGATCCTGGTCTGCAAGGCAGGCTCACAAGTTTTGTGCAGGGATTTGGATAGGGTGCCTTTCCGTTCCAGCTTTGCCACTTTTTGACAGAAACGACGTAATCTTCGATTACAGGGTTTACGCTTACACGTACAAGTTCTCATCCGACTTATGGAAGATTGTTCTGCCAATCTTCGCAACACTCACCCTGTTTCTTCCAAACATCATCCTGATCGTTTCAACAGTCCTGCTTCTGAAAGAAGCCATGAGGGTGGCTAAAGGAGCTCGACAGCCCCTCCGGTGGCAGGGTATCACGACTGTCCTTCTCACTGTAAGAGTTCACATGTAACAGTTCACATCGTCTCATTTGCACCCTCGACAGTCTACTATATTGCTGAGCCTTTCGTGGAGAAGGAGCCGTTTGCACCTGGTCCATTCTACCTTAAGTTTTGTCGCATATCTGGAGCTGTTCTGGATGTCAGCGTTCTGGCCAACTTTTTCGTATACAGCTTGACTGTGACCAGTTTCAGAAGTTTCCTTAAAAAGAGGTTCTGCCAAACAATGTCTTTCCTGTCCAGCAAAAAAATATGCCAAGGTAATTAAGCCAATGTTTTAAAGTTTGTATTGAATTGAGCAAATATGAATTAGCAAAAAAAGGAATCAATTTTAGAGAGGCAATTTTATCGTGTCTTCTATAAGTTATAGAAAAGCTGCCAAACTGACTGATACGGTTTAATCCCAGGTCCGCAAGGAGATGTAACAGTAAACAGAAGACATCCAGGGTTCCAGGCCCGCAAAGCACCAGTACTGCAACTTAATGAATCACGTGTTTAATGTGAAAAAGAAGAACGAAGCTTTTCTCCTGCAGTGAATATAATATACCTATAGTTCACCAAAAACAAGATTTTAAATTTTATTTAAGTATTTTAAATTAAATCATCAAAACAATTTCCGCTATGGTAAGCATTGAAAAATTTTCTAGGATTTGCGATGAATCTTCAAACACTAGCGTTTTATTTTCTCATAATGACATAAAAAGTCTGACCATGGCAGCTAGCAATCAGCATCTTCAGTACATTTTTTGACCTCACAGTTTTTATTAGTTACTTTATAATCATTGTCGTGTTTTTCATGCTGTATTTGCAAAACATTAATATTGTTTTATCATGTTATGATATTACCATTCATGCTATCGGTATGACGGTATTTTACTTAAATGGAGTTTTTATTCAATGCATATTGCATAACTATAACATATTCTATCCGTCATAAATGGTTCAAAATTGTGCGTTTATCAATATCATGGCATTCCAAGTTACGAATATCCATACAGCACTAAGGTTAATCATTCAAACTGTAATTCACGACCAGAGCCTTGATATGAGGACTTGAAACAACGTCATAAGCTCTACAAGACCCACAGGACCGCAACCAGCACTAAACCGAACCCAACTCCCTTGCTCCCACTGACTGTCTCCTCCTGAGCACCCTCAGAGTCTGTTACAATAGGGGTGGGTGTGAAGGAGGAGGATGTGCTGCCTGATGTGGTCCCTGGGGTGTCAGTGTCCGAGCTGGCTTGTAGAGCTGTTGCGTAGCTTGATATCTGAATGATAATTAAAATTATTCTGTCCTCGAATTGGCGACCTTTTTCACGTCAGATGTATAACTATTGACGTTCTAATTTAGTCTTGAGTCATCTCTGCTTCATGTTTGACACATATCATTTCAAACTTACGTATAGATAAGATATCAAAAAAAAATTAGACTACATAAAAACTTTGTTTTTACCTCACTGATGGTGTTCCCTAAATTCCGTTCCATTTCTTTAACTTCCTCTGGGACGTCCGTCTCTACCAGAGGTAGAACCAAGTTCCGCTCCTGTTCTGATCTTGTGAACCCTATCTCAGGACTCGAGTCAATCGCTGTTACTCCAGAACTAGTCCAACAATTAGAGTTGGTCCTCGAGTTGGAGCAGGCGAATTGTACACCTGTAAGAGGATGTTTGAGTAAGAAGCATATAGAACAGGAAGATGATAAATTAACAACTTTTGTGATAAGGCATGTTTGTTTTAGCATTTTGTGATTTGAACACAATTTTCCAAAAACTCAAGAATCAGTAAAAGCGTCTTACCGTTATCAATAGAAATAGCTGCCAACTTCAGGGTATCAGAGTAGTAATACCTGTCTCCCTGTCCAACTTCTATATCGTTGCTGGGGACGTTGGTCGTGAAACATTGGGGGTATGTGACGGCCATGAAGTCCAGGTCGGCGAGGTATTTGTCGTTCAACCTCATCTCGAGGGTGGTGTAGATACCGTCTGTTGGTATTGTATATTACTCTATAAAGTATAATCTATAAATATGAGAGTATCATGATATTCATGTGATCAACACTACTACCTAATACCTACGCTATTAGCATGCTTGGAAATTGAACGTTGAATGAAAACTATAAGCAGAATTGGTTACTGAACGCTTTGCGAAGAAAATCCACAGACCATGTGGATGCAGCACACGAAATGACTATAATCTAATTGACAAGAACAATTTCTAAATTACCCAGATTGTAGAGCAGTAGGGGGAGAAGCTCGTGAAGAGCAGCTAGTTGGTTGAAACACCCAGAAACCACCATTCTGCACGTGTTCTTACACGTGTTGTGCGTTATAGTGTCATCTCCACATACCTAAGATCATTCAATTATAGTCAACGTCAAAAACTTATCCACGAGTGCGGATAGTTTTCTAATAATACTGTTTCTTAGAAATCAAATTACAGAGTTAAAATAATACCACTTTAGGACGGTAGGTATTTGATTTTACCTGACAGTTATTATTCTGTAAATTGTCCAGTGTAGATACTCCGTTTCTGATAAGTTCCTTCTTGCACTGTTCGCCAGCAGAGTGGGATAGGATCATATTGTAAGCTTCTTTCAGTGCTTTTAGTCCTCTTGTTAGTGCTATCAGAGTGGCAGATATTTCATCAACTGCAGGCTGAAATGTTAACTTCAGAACATGTATCCGACCTAACTTGTCTTATATCTGAGATTCAGAATAGGATATGAGGATTGAGGATAATGTTTAATATATACTGTCACACGTATGACGTATCTGTGACATATTGGTAGAACAAAAGGGACATATTTGATAATGATAGTGATACTGCTCTTATCAAGGCCTGATAACTTTATCAGAACCAAACAACCCTCTGTACCTGCATGTACTCCTTCATAATCTCATACTCTAAGCTGTTCTCAGTGCAGATTACTCCGCTAGCAATCAGGGACAGTTTAGTCAGAGTGCCGTTGTTAAGAGGAACAGAGTAGTCCACACTAGCACTGACGGAGGCTAGCACTGATCTGGGGATCATATCTGGAACATGAGGGGTGCTGATTAGTTGGAGATAAATTGAGTTATTGATGTGTGAGCTGAGGTTTAAATATAACGTAATTCCGGGTATGACCGTATTTAATTTGCCAAGAATAGCTGACTTTGATTATTTTCTATTTATGGTGAAATTGGGAAATGAGTTAATCTCAGTTAGTTTGTAGTTGAAAGATACGTTTGTTGAGCACTGATCTTGCAGTTCAACTAACCCGGGAAAAGAGG